CTTATTATTTGAAAATAATCATGTTATTTTGAATTATTATCTTGTGTGTATATAAAAGTTGGTGCCATTACTTTGACTATAAAAATGTCAAACAATCTAAATTGCTGTAATGGATTAAACTGACAGGTTCATAAATAATCAAATGTCTGTGAAGTCCTTTGACCTTGTCCCATACAGGGTGTATTCCTACCTCACACCCTGTGTTCTCAGGATGAGCTCTGACCTATTTTGACCCGATTTGTATTGAAAGTTATCAAGGTTATTGTTAGAGATGAGGTTAGTCCTAGTGTTAGTGCATTTTCTTGGATTTCCTGGGTATCATTTTCAAATAAATTGTTCTTGATTGTTCAGACTTGTACAAAAGTTCAATAAGATCCAGTTGCACCAACTTTAAACTTTCCCTTTGCTCCATCTATGGCTGTTCCTCTTTCCAACCCTCACATATAAAAAAAAATGGATGTATTCAGCTCTGTTCACAAACTTGCTGCTACTCTTAGGTTAGATTTTATTGTTTTTACTTTCTGACTGGGGCTTTAAGAGGATTTAAAGAAGCAATTTACAGAAGAACTGCTGTATTCATAGCTGTGGATTCATAGCTGTGTAAAATTATTTTGGCAGTAACTTCGTAATACTTTTGTAATCGCAACAGTAAGTTTGCTTTAATGATAATTCATTGTACTTGTAAGATTATTATACTTTAATACACAATACTTTTAGCACAAATTTACCTCCATACTACATCTCATTCTCTCCTCTGTTTCTCTATTTCAGACTTTCCCCAGTTACATTTCCTTGCAAATTTGTAACAAATCGCATGACTCAATTCATATGGAAAGTTACGAAGGTTAAGGTTAGGGACGGGGTTAGTGCTGGCCCACTTTCTTATTATTTAACTTGCATGAAGTAAACTGAAATCCGATAGAAGTGCTATTGCTATTGATTTCTACAAATGTTTAATGAGGCTTTCAACTTTCCCTTCTTTCCTACTATGAATATCCCTTTTCCTCTTTCCATTTCTTTCCATTCTCTATTTCTGTCTCTCCTGTTTCCTTCTCTCTTTCTGACTCCCTCTTCCTTTCTCCTTCACCGTCTACCTAATTTTTTTTCTATTTCTGTCTTTCTCTCTTTTCTTGACACTTCCTATTCCTACACCCATCCTCTGGCTTTCTTGCTTTCTTGCTTTGCGTAGCTAAAGTTAGATAAAATGCTCTCCTGCCCTGTCTGTCCTCTCTACTCTCTCCTTCTATTTATTTATTTATTTATTTAGGCATGGAGGCCATCTCTTCATAATGTAATTTCACAGTTCATTAGGGCCAGGCCTCTCCACCACACCGATTAGTTATTGCTCCTCACACTGCTGGCAGCTCAATAGCAACTACAACCACTCCAGATGTAGATTAAAGGCACAGTCTACATTTTCAGGGCAAAGTATTCATTTATTGCATAAAAATAACACAAAAACTCAACGTATTCAAAGTACTTTGCAAATTTTCATATCTTTAGATAGATAGATAGATAGATAGATAGATAGATAGATAGATAGATAGACAGATAGATCTTCCTTTACCTTTAGGCACCCTATATATCTCCTCCCAGAAGGAAGCTTGTCAAATTTACTAAAAAGAAGATGGGAAAATCTGCTCAGTTTTCTGCCAGTTAAAAACCTCATTAATCTCAGACAGCTGTCTCTGTGGATTCCCTATCATTTTCTCTGCCATATTGACAATCCTGGAAAGTATTGTTTCTTATTCTTAACTCCCATTAAGGCCAAGTAGAAATAGATTCAAGATTCAAGAACTTTATTGTCATATGTGCAGTAGACCCACACAATGAAATTCTTACTTTATTTACACACCTCTGGATGCTGCATAAAATTAAGTAAATGGAGAAAAACACAATATAAACAAAATGCACGAGAGAATAATAATAAAAGTACTATAAAAAGACAGAATATAAATATTCCACTATATGCACAGTGAGTACAGTATGTGTGAAATGTTGCAATTCAAATATAACCCAGATTGTCCAAGTGTAGAGTGTGTGGTGCTTAAAGAGTCATAGGCTTTTAAAAATATATATTCATAATTAGCTGTAAAATGTAATCTGTTATGTTATTAATGTTATCATTGCTGATAATTAAGTCCTTGGTTTTAATTAGATTTATAAGGAGAGTTATAAACACCACTTAAGTAGTTTATGATACGCAATATTATTATAATATGATATAAAATAAAGTACCTGTCTGAGTCCCCTTCCTTCAGTTGTCCACTAGAGCCACATCATTAGTATACTTGTATAAATAAGAGGTGGAATCTTGGAGCTTGAATCTTGTATGGGTGACAAAACACAGCCCTGGTGCATTCAAACAATGCGACGTAATCCTGCGGTCATGCTAGCAAGCGACAAAGCATCATGTGATTATTTATTTTCTATGTATGTGTGTGTCACAGAGCCATGGTTTTAGGGACAGTGGACAGTAATAAAGCATCAGCGTGACTTTCTTAATTCTGTGCAAATTAGTTATGATGCAGTAAAAAGACAAATCCAGATGAATGGCTCCAATAATTCCTCCGAACAATTATGTATTATGTACTGTATGTGGTCTGATGTTTCTTAAGTTCCCCACTCACTCCACTCACACTTAGTTCCTACGTGCAGTTAGTTCCCATTTACTGCACAAAATTACAGGGTGTCCCAAAAGTGTCCATACATAGAGGACTATGTTTGCCAGCACTATGTCTGTGGATACTGGTGGACGTCCACTTCTCGGTTGGTTGGCAACACTTCCAGTCTTTTTGAATTTGTTAATAAATTTGGCAACAGTGTTGTGTGTGATGTGCTTGTCATGTTTCCTGTTAAAGTCCATCGCAACCTTGTGACAGCTTCCCGATCCAGCCATGAGAATGATTTCAATACGTTCTTCTTTTGTCAAAGGCATTCTTAAAGGCTATCTGAAAATAGGGGAAATTAGGGGAAATTAACACTTTTTATCAAAAAACATTTTGATAAAAAGTGTTAATTTCCCCTATGGATGGAGACTTTTGGAACACCCTGTAGAAAAAAAAAATTCCTCAAGGTTTCCTTCATGAAAGAAGGAAAAATAAAGCTTGGAAGGAAGTAGCAGAGATCATTGATGCCTGTGGTGAATGTACGTAACGAGTACGGCTAATCTGCCTACAAAGCTAGTTTCGATAAAAAAAACAAACAAACAATAACAACAAAAAAAATAACAGCATACAGAACACTCCCACATGCAACAACAGTAGTGGTCTGTACACACCCCCAAAAGACAAACTACATGTGACATGAGCATCTTTTCACTTGCTAGTGTCAAGATAGCATAAGAATCCAAAGATGTTTTACAGCCAAGTTCCTGGATCATGACAAGAGCGTTCTTAAACAGACAAAAGAAAGAGATCATTAGCACATGAAAACACAATTTAAATAAATGCATGTTTAAAGGTCATCTTGTTTAGAGGACTACTAACAGCTCAGTGCACACTAATAGGTCAGAGTGGAGTAAAGAGCACAGACTCTGAACAAAGGCTAAATCGGGAAAGCCACTTTCAGATACTACAACAACAACAACTTAGAACTGACATCTCTACTACTAACACGTTAAAAAAAAAAAAAAACCTTTCAGCTTGCACTCTGTTGGTAAACTCGGTAAACTCGCTGCTACTCTTAGTGCACACCTTTTTCCCTTCCTGATTGGGGCTTTAAGAGGCCATAAAGAAGCAATTTACAGTAGGGCAGCTGCGGCATGCCTGGATTCATAGCTGTGTAAAAAGCCATAAATAAAAGCCTTTTTTGCAGCTTCCTGGTGAGACGCAATAGCACCTATTTTGCAGGGAAATTATTCTGCAGAGATCTCAGATCGCAAACGTGTAAGCTCTGGCACAACAAATATGGCATGACGAGGATGAGTGTTAATGAAGTTCTTTATGTGTGGATTCATTAGCAGGCAAGGCATTCAGGTCTGGTAATGGATGCGCCTCTGCAGGTGTGCATAGCGCGGCCTTAAAACAACCGTCATTATCTGCGAAAACATAATGATCACCATTTGACGCACGTGACATGATAATGCTCATATCAACAATGATATCATAAATGCTCTAAAATGTCTGGGGTGATTGGAGGCGTAGCAGTGTGTGGATACAGTGTGTGTGTGTGTGTGTGTGTGTGTGCGTGTGGGTGGATGTATTCTTGATTTGTTTTAACCCAGTGTTTCCTGATGTAGTCTCCGAATCCACCACTAAAGTTCCTTTTATCGAGGTTTATTCAAGATGTGACTGCAGGGCAAAGGACTTTTTTGTAATTAATTGTAATGTTTAATATTATTATTAATTTGTATTATTTTTGAATTTAAGAATGTTAAGAAACCATACTCAGAATTCACAATAAAACTTTGTTTTAATTTATATCAAAGCGCTGTAGAATTCTCGATTCTGATTGGTCTGAAGTTGTTGATTAATTTTCTATGACATCAGCTCTGACAATAGCAATGTTTTTACGCAGTTAGCATTTCTATATTAACTCATTCACAGGGAGATACACTCTTTGACATGGTTACGCTTTCTGTAAAGACAAGTTTATTTAACATTCAGGGAAGGAGTCTTCAGTATCAGTACTTTGTAACAGTCCACCATGGAAAGTAACAATAAATAGTTAAAACATACAATTTATTGTAAAAAATATAATCAATTAAAAATTGATGTGTTAGATGAGGAATAAAACACTTCAGAGCCTGCTGTTACTGGAAAAGAATCAACTTCAGGGTGGTAACACTGACTCTGCTTCACATCAGGCCACATCACACCACCATGTTATTGATTAGTTTCCTGTAACATCATGGCCCCAAGTGTTTTATTCTTTACATATGATTCTTTCTTCTTAGAGTTACATCTACATTAACTGGCTCGTTGGTCTAGGGGTATGATTCTCGCTTAGGGTGCGAGAGGTCCCGGGTTCAAATCCCGGACGAGCCCAAACTTTTGGGGGCAGTTGTGGCCTAATGGTTAGCGTCTCGGACTTGCAACCCGAAGGTGTACCTGAAGGTCGTGGGTTCGAGTCTCAGGTCCGGCAGGGATTGTAGGTGGGGGGAGTGAGGGCTCTCTCCCACCCTCAATACCACGACTGAGGTGAGACCCTTGAGTAAGGCACCGAACCCCCAACTGCTCCCCGGGCGCCCCAGCAAAAAAGGCTGCGCGTGTGTGTGTGTGCGCGCACGCACTTGGATGGGTTAAATGCAGAGCACAAATTCCGAGTATGGGTCACCATACTTGGCCACACTTCACTTCACTTCATATTATAATGATGACATAAAGTATGAATATGTGGTTAACTGGAATGTTTGAAGTTTAGCTTTGAATGTGACAAATTCATGAGCAGATGTGCTTTAATTCTCACTGATCATATCTGCCGTATCTTTGTTTTTCTCACTCTGTGTTAATAAAGCTACAGGAAGTAAAGCTAGACATAGCGGAGAAAGCGGTGCAAACGTTGGCTCAATGTTCCAGAATGCAATTCAGCTATAACACGGTTGTGCTGAGTTACAACAGAGACCCGGCTACGAGCGATCTACGAGCGTGATGACGTGCGTAATGGCATTTCACGGTGGTATTAACATGGAAGTTGAAGCTTTGGAAGCTGATCTGTTTAAGCAGATGAGGAGTTGAGAAAGCTGGACAAAGGACTAAAGCACTGCTGCATTGCTTCCTTTAGCTAGAGATGAAGTGAGGGCGAAATCCCACTGGCACTGCTGTCAGATGGAAATCGAACTGCATTGTGGGTAGTGTTACCCAAAGTGAAAAGAGAGCAACATGAAAGAAGCTTAAACTAAAAAAAGGCAACTCAGAGGTTCATTATAAAATAAATCTTGGACACCACTGAAGATCACATTTTAATTATAAAGATTAATATGCAAGCCGATCAGGGTGAATTTTTCCTTTAACCAAGAAACTGTTTTAAATTGTAATTAATCATGTCTCCCTCTGCAGAATGAAATATTAATTGCTATGGCTTTCTGCACAAACACACATTGCCATGTTGCTGCCGGTCCAGAAGGCCTTGAATTCCTGTGTCTCTAACATCAGGCCTATGGGCACAAGACTAATTTTCACACTAATAGCATACATCAGGGTTCTTTTTGTAACCAGGGACCACTTTACCTGTAAAATAATTCCACAAAAAACACTCAGTACAGATTTATTAAATGAGCATTATTTAAAGATGTACAATGATATTTTGTCTATTTAATAGAGCTTTTTATTGCTGATTTTTCCCTTGACAGAACACACTAGGTCCAAGTGTGTTTGAGTTATTCAGGATTGAACTAAACCCATTCAATTCATGTGACATGAACAGGCTAATAACTAGAAGAATTCAATAATAAATATAATAACTTGAATAATAGTGGGTAGTGATTTCCTGTAGCTGTAAACTAAAAACTCCTGTTCCCTCTAGCTGTGCTTGATGGACCCCAATTTGAAAACCACTGGCTTACATGACATTTAAATTCACACTCCTGCTACTTACTGGTTTAAACGTGAATATCAATAAATCAATAAAACAGTTATGACACATTTATAAAGGTGGAAATAATTTCATCACATGGAATCCCAAAACAAATTTGTTCCACAAGTGGACCTAGAGTCTGACAGGAAGCTTGTTTATTCATGCTCAAGAATATGGACCAGGAAGTATTGGGGTGTAGCTTGTAAATAACCTTCGTTCAGTTAACGAGAAATTACTGAAGCTTGCTTTATATCTGAGGAGGTAGAGCAGGACCAAAAAGTAGAACATTTCCACTGAGTCAAGAACTTCGCAGGAGTGTGTTCTATTGTAAGCAGAAAATTACGCTTCATGAAATTACTGATAATTGCACCACTTCCTGCATCTTGCTAGTTTAAAAAGCTGCCTAGAGGGGTGAATTAGAGTAGCTAATTGACCTAAGAGCATGTTTTTGGGAGGGTGGGAGGAAACCAAAGAACCAGGAGGAAGCCCACACAAACCCAAGCTCAACCCTGTGATGCATCAACACCACGTGCTGCAACACTATCCAACTAAAGCTATGTTAATGTTAATATCATTTTAAAACAAAACACAACAAAAACAAAAAACAGGAACTCATTCAGGAACTGTCTAGATCTTGTTCTTCATAATTACAGACCTCTTTAGTTCTGTCTACAGTTGCTCTACTTCCTTGGATGGAAGATTGAATTGAAAATAGAGTACAAACTCATAACACAAATCACGAGCTCGGGGTGACACATGAACCTGTGATCTATTGCTATTTGAAGAACCTGAAGAGGTCAGTTCTCCAGGTTCTCTATTAAGACACAAACTTTTCATTCCTCTTTCCATTCAGCTAAGGCCAGAGGGACGTGACTGTACTATATTGCATGGCATTCAAAAATATACACAGTAAGTATGTTTATGGTTATACACTATTATTATTAAAGTGTGTCCAGGGTCTCACTGAGTAGCAAAGTCTGCTTTATGTCCTTGACTACAGTAGCAAGAGCACTATCCCTGATTTACAGGAAATGTATCTCTATTAGGTCCTCTTTATGAGCCCTTCTGTGTCTATGCGTTGCACACGCCGGGGTGGCAAAGGTGCTTCTGAAGCTCGCACTTGATAAAATATCCCATTAACCTGCCAGTATAGAGAACGCTTATTACTTTTCTCTCCAGGTGGCTCGAGGGCGATTGCTTTATTAAGTCTCAGACAATAAATGAGGATGCAATGGCACACAATGCTACCGTACATGTAAAGCCCTTAATTCGTGGAGATGGTGTGTGTGGAGCTTTACCTGAATGCCTGGTTAACTTATTCATTTTAGCACAGCATGGGTGAATGAGACTTTCCAAGCGAAGGCCCTCTGGATTAATAATGACGATTTAAAATGACCCAGAAGCAACACAATATACCTCTCAGAGAGTATTATAGAAAATGTTCGGTATTAACACAAATAGGCTTTGGAGTGCCTTCAAGAATGTATTACACTGAAAATTTTTTATGAGATACCTACTTTTTTTTTACTGTAGGACCATAGAGTAGCATAGAATACAATCATTATTCATGTCTATGGTCGAGTACATTCACTGTCCTTGTTGTGCTCTGAGCCGTTGCCTCAGCAGCACTGCCCTTCATCATAGGTTAACGTGGCACTCAGTGACCAAATTACCTCAAAAAAACGACACCAACAGCCCAGAGAATCAGATATTACATTCAGGATCACCCACAGAGATTTGGCCCGACGCTCACTGACCCACCAGTACTGATGGGAAACTCATATTTATGGCCAACTGAATCAATGAAAAGTCTATATCACTTTAATTTCTTCCCCTCTCTGCTATAGACAACTCAAGATATAACATATGCCTTTATGATATATGATCTTTAATAGCTTTCGTTTGCTTTCTCTTCTGAAACGGTTACACCTCCTACTTTAACTGAGATAAAGCTCTTATAGAAAATTAAATGCAGTATGTACTACATCAGGAATAGGATTACATCAAACATTGAAAACATTGAAATGGATGAGCTGCTATTCATTCAAACACGGTGCAAACAAGCAGAGCTAGGAAAAGATAAACGATAACGGTGACGGTTTTGTCTAAGCTCTCTTTTAAAGCAAAGCTAGAAGCGTGAAACGAATTGATATTAAATGATGTGAAAGATGAATTCCAATCTGGGCTTGATATATTAAGCTATAAATATTTAACTTTGTTTAATCTACCATTTCATCCAGTTATAAATAATATCACATCAGAAAAGTTGGGTTATCAGGTTTAAAATCTTTGAGTTATAAACATTTTTTTTTTTTTTTTAAATTTTGAATCATTAATCATTTAGGTACGTCTTTGGTACACCTTTTCATCTTTCTCATATTCTCCCATCTGAGCTGTCTATCTCTCCAGCTCCTTCATAGTTACCCTCGGACTCTTGGTTGCCTCTCTGGCTAATCCTCACTGATGTTTGGTTGATGGCCTCCTCTAGGCCGAGTTGTGAATATGCCGTATTCTTTTCATTTTTAAATAATGGATTCAATGATGTTCTACAGGACGTTCAAAGTTTGGGGTGTTTTCATAACCAAACCCAAACTAATACTCTCCCAGAACTTTGTTTGTTTAGATATGTTCTCTAACAAGCTCAAGATCACATGACACTTTAATTGCACATGAGTGAACTCCATTCAACTAATGATGTGACCTCTGATAGCAACTATAACACTTAAAAACAGAAGATAGGCTCCAAGGGAAGAGTTTATTCAAGAAATTAGGCAAAAATAAATAATTGTAAAACAGTCACTCCAAAGAAGAAGGCAACATCACAACAAGAAGAGATCCAAAAACAATAAATCAAATCATGATACAAAAGGCCTCTGAAATGCAGGACAGTAAGGAATGAAAGACTTCGCAATGTGTGTGCATGAATCTCTGAGTCTTTATGGTGTCCGTAATGAGAAAATGGTTGATCTCAGGTGTTTTGGGTGAACTGGAAGTGTTAGTATTCGGGTGATATGGACCCCTGGTGGTTTGGAGTGGTGTTATCAGGTGAGGGAGTGACAGCAATAGGTTGCACCAGGGGTTTCACAGCAAGGGGTGTGAATACTTATGCAATCACAAATTTGAGGGTTTTTATAATGATTTTCCCCCATTTCAATATTATGGACCTATTTTGTGTAGAATCATGATGTAATGTATAATCCCATTTCAGTTGCACGTTGTAATACAACAAAACGCTTGTGTGTGTTTGTTGGGGGGGTGGGGGTGAATACTTATGCAAGGCACTGTAGTTTCTATTAAGTTAATGTGTGGTGTGAAAACAAAAAATGTTTGGGATGATATGTTTTCTGTTTAACCTTTATAATTTCCACATACAGTATATACTTCACAGAGACACAACTCCTTGAAACTACAAAAAAAAAAGAAGTTTGAAAGAACAGATGGCTCAAATGTGTCAAAATTCTGGCAGCAGTAAATTCAGATGGTATTTCCACTCATGTTCCTGTGCATGTCTTAATTTAGCAATACAGGGCAGCAATTGTACTTTAAGCTGTATGGGGCAGACATGATTG